ACTGCAAGCTCCACCTCCCAGGTTCATGCCATTCTCCTGCCTCAGCCTCCCAAGTAGCTGGGACTACAGGCGCCCGCCACTACACCTGGCTAATTTTTTGTATTTTTAGTAGAGACAGTATTTCACCGTATTAGCCAGGATGGTCTCAATCTCCTGACCTTGTAATCCACCCACCTCAGCCTCCCAAAGTGCTGGGATTACAAGCGTGAGCCACCGCAACTAGCCCTTTTTTTTTTTTTTGAGACAGAGTCTCACTCTGTTGCCAGGCTGGAGTGCAGTGACATGCCATCCCAGCTCACTGCAACCTCCACCCCTGGGCTCAAGCAGTTCTCCTGCCTCAGCCTCTTGAGTAGCTGGGATCACGGGCGCCCGCCACCACGCCTGGTTAATTTTTGTATTTTTAGTAGAGACGGGGTTTCACCACGTTGGCCAGGCTGGTCTCGAACTCTTGACCTCAGGTAATCTGCCCACCTCAGCCTCCCAAAGTTCTGGGATTACAGGTGTGAGCCACTGCGCCCGGCCATTCCACCCCTTTTTAAACCCAAATGTTAATAATACACCATAAGTAATGCTCTGTACTTTGCTTCTTAACCAGCTGTGTTAAAAATGTATCTTGGAGATCTTTCTGTGTCAGTCATATGAGAGGCTTCCTGATTCTTTCTGTATGGTTGTACCGGGCAGTTGATGGACATTTAATCTGTGGCGCTTTGCATCCCTTTTTCATCTAAGAGCTCACAGAGATTGTTCTCAGGTGCCATTTTGTTTCACTTCTTTTTTCTTCAGTAACGTCTCCTCTTCCATTTACCCAGGATCAACTTGCAGCAGACATGTACAACTTTATGGCCAAAGAAGGGGAGTACGGCAAATTCTTTGTTACGGTAAGCAGCTTCCCTTGACAAAATGTTAAAGCGTTATTAAAATGGAGTCATTTTAGCTTTTTTGCAAAAGATTTCATTTTTAGTTTTGCTCAGCCATTGTGTGTGTGTCCATTCGATGCTAACGTTACTTTTGTTTTTGAATGTGGGTCTGTTCTCAGTTATTAGAAGCCCAAGCAGATTACCATAGAAAAGCATTAGCAGTCTTAGAAAAGACCCTCCCCGAAATGCGAGCCCATCAAGGTAATGTAACCCGCGTGCGGCTGATGCTTCCTTCTTGCCTCTGCCACCTCTGCCTGGGTTCTTCTTCACCCTGACTCCTCTGCATGCACGTCCTTGGGATAAAGCTTCTCTGCCTAGGAGGGTACTGTTTCCCGGCATAATTTCATCTTCCTTGCTGCATCCTCTAACTTCTTCCAAACCCAAATTAACACACTAATAGAACATTTGTAGTTCTTCTGAAACCTTCAGTTGAAGAGAGAGCTGGCCTCTTTGGGGGAGTGCCTGTGTGTTTTCCCATCTTCTAGAGGCTTGAAAAAGTCCAGCATTGAATGATCCTTTTCCACATCAGTTATTTGTTCCACAGGACTTAATTCTGGCCGTGTGACTCCGAGAGCATCCATTCTAGGGAAAATATTTTGGACTTTCCAACAGAGCAGCCAGTACTTGATGCCACATCATGCACGTCACGCTTAATAACAAGTGTGATTGAATCCTAAGACCGTGGTCACTTCTTTCAGACTCCTCCTTTGTCTTTATACTAAGCTTTTGTTCTTGTCAGCACTAATATTTTGCCTGTCGTATTCAAGCACACTGCAGATTTTGTCTGCAAGTTAGGTGCAGACTGAACTTTCCCCTTATGCTGACTTTTAAGTTGGGCATCTAAAGCTTTTTTTTTTTTTTTTTTTTTTTCCTCCCTAAAGCTTTTGATGCTATGTCTCTCTGATTTACCATTAGAGCATTTACCGGCAGAGATGGCACAAGCGGTTGAGTCAGAAATTGCTCGGCCATCCTTGGATCTATTTCACCTGTGCTATATACCTGACATTTGGAGCTTACGCTCCTCTGCAGAACCACTGGTGTTGAGCTGACAGGGGATCAGGCCAGGTGCTGAGTAGGGTGACTTCATGATTTTGAGACTGAGCGTGTGTGTGTGTGTGTGTGTGTGTGTGTGTGTGTGTGTTGCGGGGGGGTTGTTTGTGGAGGTGCATACATACCAGCACCTTCAAGAATGCCACTTCTTCTCCCCCTGAGTTTCAAGAGATCCTCACAGGTTCTGGCTTTGTGCCTGAAAGTTTTTGGATTATGGAATTATAAAATTTTATGTCTTGACTGATCAGATAGTCACCTCTTCAGCATTCTCAGATGCAGTGTGTCTGAAATTCTCAGCCATTGCCCTTGCCTTCCCAAATAATCGAGAGTCCTAGTTCATGGAGAATGGCGTTGAGTCACAGTGCAAAGGAATGAGGTCTCTGGAAAATGTTCCCACCTTCCTAGGGACCGACTCATGCTGGGCAAGTTCAGAGCATCAAGAAAATATATTTATGAGATATCTGCTGTGGGCTGGGCCCCGCATAGGACAAAATAGTAGGCAGATCATCATTGTAACCTTTGAGTGACTTAGAGTCTAATTTGAAAGAGGTGATTAACAAGAGGAAAAACAAGAAGATTGGATTTTTTGAGCATTTTTTTTTTAAGAGACAAGATCTCACTGTTGCCCAGGCTAGACTAGAACTCTCATTCTATTTTTTTCCCAAGGGTATTTTCCCTAGAGAAATATGTCAGGAAGCCATGGAGAGCGGGGATGGGGCAGGGAAGAGGTTAGGATGGAACAGCCCGTGGAGGAAGTGCGATTTATCCTTCTTGCTGAGGTCACCCTTCACGAAGTTGCAGTTCAACCCCTCCCACCGCTGCCTGTCCTTGCGCCTGCCTCTCATCTTAGTTCTGTCTCTTCTTTCCTTGCTGTCTTCTCTGTTTTCAGAAAGACTTAGCTTGTCCTTACTATATAAAACAAGTGTGACCTCCCCCCACGATCCCCTCACCTCTGTGGACTCCGTTGTCACATTCATGGTCAGTTGGTGGTAATCTGGTGCCTTCCTGACCTGAACACAACACCCCATTTAATCTGGGTTTCCTTCATTTTTTCTGGTGGGCACTTCAGATGACCCCTTCCTGCCTGCCACCTGTATTTTCTTACCACCTTTCCACCCCTGAGTCCTTTGCAGTCTTGTGTCTACCCCCAGTCACTCTGCTGTTTAGGAAAAAAGAGCACAGCATACTGCAGTTTTCAAAGGAGCAGCAACCACCTGTCAGATCCTGGCATTTGACCCAACATGGGCCGTCTCTTCTTTGTTCACGTTTATCTCCTTGCACCACTTGACCTCTTCTTTCATTGTGAGGACTCTGCATTGCTCCATTTCTTTTTAAAAATTTTCTTCAAGAAGGATTATATATTGCTCTATTTCTGTCTTCTACCCGGAAGTCAACCTTTCTGAGGTCCAGTCCTTGCACCTTCGTTCTTCTCTCCCACCCTCACTTCTCGCCCCCTTTCCCCTAGAAATCCCTTCACTTGGACAGCTTTGCCCCTTACCTGCATTTTAATCCTTGCAGCGTCCTAAGCATCGGTTCCCTGTGATGAACAGCCCTCACCTTAAACTCAAAAAGCAAACTAGTTCTCTCCCCACACCGACTGTCCCTTTCTCCCTTCTTGTCTCCCTCGTATCACCTTTCTCCAAGTGATTCAGATCTTCACCTTGGAACCCTTTTCTCCTTCCTGTCTTCCATCCAGTGCCTAAGTTCTGTCCATTTTGCCCTAGGCTCTGCCATCCTTTCTTCCCCTGGCCTGCTCTGCTCCATGCTCTCACGGCCTTGGCGTGAACTTGGGATAAGATGTAAATTCCCAGACTTACAATTCCTGATCTTTTCTCAGCCGATTGCCCCTCACAAAGATATGTTAGCCCATTTTTCAGCCTGTTTAATCTTTGTCCGTCTCAGGAGACCCCCTCCAACCTCACTTCCTTTGAGAAGCCTTCTCTGACAACTGAAGCCAGTGGCAAACACTTTGCCTCCTGCTTTGTGCCAACATTTATTGTCTACACCAGAAGT